GGTGGGGGGAGGGGGGCGGTGAGGTGGCGATCTTCTGCTGGCTGCCAGAGAGGCACCCTAGGGGTTTGCAAGCAATGCAGCAGCAGAAGCAAATGTGGAGGCTGCGCGGGGGCCCTGCCCTGTCGACCGCCGCCAGCCGGCGCGCTGCAGCTGCCCCCTGAGCCGTGCCTGCCTGCCCGCCCCTCCCCCCTGCCGCAGACGTGCGCCCGGGCATGCCCGTGTCTGGCACCGTGAGCCGGGTGGAGGAGTATGGGCTGCTGGTGGCCCTCACTTCCAGCATCAGGTGAGTGGGGTCCCACGGGGGGCGGCAATAGGCACATGTCGGTGTGGGGGCGGGTGGGTTGTTATTATTACTTGTTTTCAGATGTTCTACGCCAGCTGCAGCCGTACTGCCCCAACCCTTCTGCCTGGGGTGCCTGCTCCCGGCACCCCAGCGTGTTTAGGGTTAACCCTAAAGGTAGTCGACCGTGCACCAACCGCCCATGCAGGGCGCTGGTGCCTGTGCTGCACGCCTCCGACGTGGGCACCGCCAAGGCGCTGCGCAAGTTCAAGGCGGGGCAGACGGTGGCGGGCAAGGTGCTGACTGTGGACCCAGGTGGGCGGCGGTGCCGGTGGCGGCGCTGTTGGTGGCGGTCGTGGTGGCGGGATGTTTTGGACTGCCGGGCTGCAGCCATGGGTGAAGAGGTGCATGCTGCGGTGCGCAGTGCAACTAGTGCACTGCATGGGTACTGCATGAGTGCTTCTCCAGCGCTTCGCTGCACCCGCCCATACCACGTCCCACAACCCCACACCCGCCCTCCCCACCCGCTCACCCCACCGCACCACACCATTCCTCCTGCCCCCGCAGCCACCAAGAAGGTCACAATGACCCTCAAGCCCTCGCTGGTGGGCTCCAAGCTGCCCCCCATCGCCCGCACCCAGGACGCGGTACCGGGCGGGCGCAGCCACGGCGTGGTGACCGGCGCCCGCGACTTTGGCGTGTTTGTCAGCTTCTTTGGGGGGGTCACAGGTGGGTGCAGGGGGCGGCGAGGAGGCTGGGTTGCAGGGGCCGGCAAGGCAGCTCCAGGCCCCTCGGGGCGTCCGAGGGCTTGTGTGCATGCTCCTGCTCAAGAGCGCCTTGTGGGCACCACCACCCACCTGCAGGCCTGGCGCATGTCAGCGAGTGCGGGCTGGCGGCTGACCAGAAGCCGCCGGAGGCGTTCCAGGCGGGGCAGGGTGCGCCGCCGCCAGTTTCTTCTGCCGTTGCGCCATGCTGTGCCTGCACCCTGTGGTGCCTGCTATGCCCTCTGTTCCTTCTATTTCCGGCCGGGCCCAGAATTCCCCACAACAGCCCATGTCCCTGCTCTGCCCTGCATCGCCACTCACGCGACGTCGCCCGCCCTCCCCGCCGCCACGCCGGCTGCCTGCAGTGGTGAAGTGCCGGGTGCTGGGTGCAGACCCGTCCCGCAAGGGCCTCAAGCTCTCCCTTGTCACCAAGCCGAAAAAGGCGGCTGCAGCTGCGGCCGAGACAGAAGCAGCGCCACTGGCGGCAGCAGCGGCGCCTGGCGCAGCCGGCGAGCCTGCGCCAGGCGGTTCGGAGGCAGGCGGCAGCAGTGAGGCGGCAGCGGCAGCCGCACTGGCCAGCTACCAGGCGGGGGAGTTGGTGGAAGGGACCGTCGCTGCGGTGCACACCAAAGAGGTGCGGGACAGGGCTGCTCCGGCACCCTTCTGCTGGCACCGCCAGCCTGCTGCTGCCCAGCACCTGCATGCTGCCTCAGTCCCACGCCCGCTCACCTGTCCTCCCGCCCCGCAACCTCTGCAGGTTGACGGCGAGGCTGTGCCCGCCTACTTTGAGCTCTCAGTGTCCTCGGCTGGCGGCGGCAGCGACAAGGCGGCAGCTGCGGGCCGCCTGGAGGTGGCGCACCTGGCCGACCACCCTGCTGCGGCGGCAGCGCTCGTGGCAGCACTTACAGTCGGCTCCCGCCTGGGGCCCCTGCTGGTGCTGCAGCGGCTCGAGGTGAGAGCGGCTGCATTGTTTAGGGCTCCGAACTGACGGTGTGGGCGGTGCAGGGTCCCGGGGATGGATGGCACAGCCTGTGCTGCTGTTGCAGCTTGGCCCGCCCTTGCCTGCAGCCACCTGCACACCCTGTACCCAAACAGCGTGCCTGCCATCTGATATTGCTTGCCCGTCCCCCTGCCCACCCCCGCAGAACGTGAAGCAGCTGCGGCTGACCCGCAAGGCCTCCCTGCTCACGGCAGCAGCGGCGGGGCTGCTGCCGTCTGCCGTGGAGGCGGTGGCGGAGGGCGCCCTGCTGGCGGGCTATGTGGCCTCGGTGACCAGCGGCGCCGTGTTTGTGCGGTGAGGCAGCAGGCTGATGCGCGCGTGGGTTTGGAGCAGCGGCGCCCACCGTTGCAGCTTGCGTTTGCTGTTGCGTTTTGTGTGTACAGTCCCTTGCAGCCTGCGCCCATTCGCCCTCCCCCTCCACCGCCTCGTGCGCCCACCACCCTCTGCCTCGCAGATTCCTGGATGGCCTGACGGGGCGTGCGGGCTTGGCGCAGCTGAGCGACACATTCGTGTCCGACCCGCACCTGTTCTTCCGAGAGGGCCAGTCTGTGCGGGCCACCGTGGTGCAGGCGCGCTGCCCTTGCTGCCGCCGCAGCGCTGCCGCCGTCTGTGCGGGCGCCGCTGCTGC